TTCAATTCAAAATAAACTCCAACGGGAATCCAAATGTGAATATGAATAATTCGACGAATTAATATCCTCCTCAATGCAAGATAATCGTCGAATTTAGACTGCTTAAAAGTTATATTTGTAGGCGATCGTTTCGAAGCAGATTTCAGTGGAAACGAACTATTCGAATTGGCAACGTTCGATAGCCAACTAATCAAACTGAAATCTGAATTCTTTTCAACGGAATTGTTGCATTTGTGAGTTGCAAAAATTCTTCAAAGTTTTATCGGTGATTTTGAAATTTTTATTTGAGTTATACTTTCAGTCGTTAGTGACTGCTATCGCTTTCGTTGCAGTTTGACACTTCATTATATGGAATGTTTGAATAGTTCTTTGCAGTCGCAGTTGTGTAATTGCATAATCGTTTACAACTAATGTAAATGTAAATGAATAAATGGCCATGAGTAACTCAATTCCTTGCAGAATAATCCCAGAAGGAATTGTTCGGGTGGAAACGCTGCTTCCGATTCATGTAGTTATGGAAATATGCGATGTGACGATGACGATTTTAACGTGTAAAAGTATTGATGATAGCGTTGTAGTGCTCGTATTCGACTGGTTTCTTTCGTAACGCTCAAGTGATTTCAGTGATCCGGACANCGTTGTAGTGCTCGTATTCGACTGGTTTCTTTCGTAACGCTCAAGTGATTTCAGCGATCCGGACAGTTGCAAACGATGGTTTCTGTCGAAGAAGAAGGCGTTGATAAGGCAAAAAATGAGTTGGTTCTTGAAGAAAATGATTTAATCGAATATCGATACGGTTTACCACTGGACGAAATCTACAAACTGGCATCGAAATACTATCGAGGTAGAATATTTTACTATATTAATTGAATCGCTGTAGTAATTGATCAATTAATTGATACACAATCAGTTTATGATAAATTATTCATCAATTAATGTGTTTATTCTTCAGTTTATATTTTCCTTTCAACGAATTTACGCATTTGAGTCAATTGTTGTGAAAATGTAAATTGTGCCTTCTCGAGCTGAAAAATTTAACTGTTGGAGCGAAACGAGATTGAACCTTCCATTGTAGATGATATCCGTTTGTCATCGTAGGTTTTACTTTCTCGCCTCATTCGGCATATCCCATTTTTGATTTTGAAAGGTTTTACAATCTGATTTTCACGCTTCCGATTTTGTCGAACTAACTAGAGCTTAACGCTTATTCAACGACAACTATGCTTGCACACCTCAACTGAGCCATGGTGTTTTAATGAAGTTCTCTTTCGGATCTGCATTCTTTAAAATGTTTTTTT